GGGAAGACCGGTTTTATCGCCAGCTTGCTTGAGCCAGGCAAGGGCTGGTTTGCCAATTCCTTCAAAAGAGCCCGGCTGCGTGCGGGGTTTCCAAACGCCTCCCCGCAGGGCACTCACTCCCGGCTGATCTGCAATTCCTTCCGCGGTAAGCAGCATTTGCGCTTCACTTTCCACACTGCACGGGCCGGCAATAAGTATAGGCTTACCGTTTATTTTCAACCACTTTTCAATCGGTACGATATTCATCTATTTTAATGGTAATTGCGGGTTAAAACTGCTTCTAAACAACTGGTAAGGAAACAGCCCGAAAAGCCACAGGGTTTGCTACGTTAGCTTTTGTTTAAGTACCGATAAACGATTATTTAGGCTCGTGCAAAACCAATAATGGAATGGTGGTATGGTAGGCCAATTTAGAAGTGAGCGAGCGGTGAAACAAGCCTTCAAAAAAACCGTATCGCTTGGCTATAGCGGCAATAACATCGGCATTTTCTTTCTTGGCCTCCTTGATTATCGCCTCCTCCACGTTGTCGGTTTGTAAAATGGTAAATTCCTTTACGCGGTTTTGGAGTGCCGCTTGAATGGCATCACGCGTTCCGGCCTTGGATTTTACGTCATTTTGCACGTGCAAAACGTCAATGCTTGCCTCGTTTAATTCCGCGAAAGCGTTGAGGTTTTTAAAGGCAGTTTCCATGTTGTCCATGTCAAAATCGCTGGCAAAAACAATTTTTTGCAACGGCTTTCCATTGGCATCTGGAGGAATCACCAAAACGGGCTTATCGGAATTTTGAATAACCGAAGCCGCGTTAGAGCCAATCAGTATTTCTTCCAGTCCGCTGGCGCCTTTGGTGCCCATCACCACCAAATCAATACTTTCTTCAGTGGCCATCTCCTTAATCAGGCGAATGGGGTTGCCCAGCCGCACTTCGGTGGTAAAAGGCACATCGTATTTATCTTTCAACTTTCGTTGGAAGGCGGCCATGTTCTTCTCCGCATTTTCCTTCATCACCTCCAGCAGGGAGGTGGTCATGCTGCGGTCGGAGTAGGGAAGGTCGTAGGCATTGATTACGGTAACCTTGCCCTTGCTGCGCTTGGCAATGTCAAAGGCGTATTGGCAGGCTAAGTCTGCGTTTTCGGAGAAGTCGGTGGGAAGAAGAATGTTCATTTCTGGCGGCTAATTTTAGTCTTTTGCTGGGTTTGTGCATCTACCGAAGCTAAGGTAATCATATTTACTATTTCACGCACCGATGAGCCAATTTGGAGCACGTGAGCCGGTTTGTTTACACCAATTAGCACGGGCCCCAACGCTTCGGCAGCATTAAAGCTCTGCAACAATTTATAGGCAATATTTCCTGCCGAAAGATTGGGGAAAATGAAGGCATTGGGGCGATGATCATTTAAAGAGCTGAACGGGAAGTTCTCTTTTCGCAAATCGTGATTCAGGGCAAAATTGGCCTGCATTTCACCGTCAACAATTAGTTCGGGCTCCAGCTCTTTTAGCT